TATTTTACTCCTAAAAACCTTGAGATAGAGATGATACCTGTTTTCAGACGTGCAACGTGGTCAGAAGGGTGAAGGGCTGCCACGCAACAACCACAAGATACTAAAGTGAGTAGTCGAGCCAGGCTTCTGTACTGTTCTTTCTCAAGTGATAAACCCTGTCTTTTCCAATTAAGGGAACCTCTAAAAAAAATGAAAAGCCGCATCGTCTAGTGACAAAAGCCATGTGCTGTATTATCTTTATTAGCAATAATGGTGATATTTGATACCCCACCCCCAAAGAAACCCCCAAATATCAACTCTGGTCCAATCTTTTGCCAGTGGCTTCACAAGTTTAAGCATGCACCAGAGTCACCTGGAGAGCTAGTGAAAATGTCACTGGGCCCGACCCTCAGAGTTTTTGATTCAGTAGGTCTATGGCAGAGCTCAAGAATGTGCATTTTTGAGCTCTACCAAAGACCTACTATGCATTTCAGAGATCACACCTCAGCTACTGCTCTCAGAATAAATGGATGGAAGACAGGGAAAAGGGGGTAGATTAATCTCCCTTAGCACTAGTTATTTTTAAAAGTATAGGGCAAGCTATGATTTGGTGAAATGTTTTCCTAAATAGCTACAATTTACACATTTTCTCAAAGGTTAGTGCTATAACTACCTGTGTACAGGCCACACCCCAGACCAATTAAGTCACCACCTCTAGGAATGACTTAGGCCCGCGTACTTTTAAAGCTGCCCAGGGGAGTCCAGGGCTCAGCAGAAGTGGGAACCACTGAAAACAGCCCCGACCAATGCGCCGAGAACGGGCCATGGATGTGGGGCAGCTAGCTGATGGTCTCCTCCCCTTCCCCTCCTGTGCCCTTCCAACACCGGGACTATCTTAAAGGCAGCATCCCCAACTTTAAGTTCATTTGTTTTGATGAGATGTCATTCCTATATAACCTCTCTCTTTGGCCAGTAGTTAGATCAAAATATGTTTCAGTAGATGTTTGACAGCAAGTCTGCTTTTCAGATTAGATTAAAAGCCAGTTACCCGAATGTTGAAATATACGTCACTATCGGCAAAGACCTGGGCTTCATTATCTAACTGAAGGGCATGTAAGTAGAACCATGATATTGACTGTGATGGTCACCCGGAGAGGGGGAAAAAAACCTTTACAAGTAGAGAATTATAAAAACTTCTTCTTTAATCAAGACTTAACATGAAACAGACTTCTTGAATAAAATGGAAAGTTTCCAATACATTGAAACATGGATCGCCATACATACAACACCTGGCAGGAAAAAACAAAATGGCAAGTTTACACAATCCCTGTAACAGCCATGGTCTTTATACTCAGAGGCTTCCTCCATCTGCCAAGTGTGTTGTGTCGAATACAGAGCTCACTGTGGTTTCTGGGGTCACACTCGGCAGAGGCTGCAGCCCCAAGAGCACTCGTCTGGCTGGGCCGTGGTACTGCTGGCTCTGCTCAGGAAGCAAAGTAGTCGCCAGCACATTCAAACAGTGTATTTTAAACATCCTTTAAATATCAAAGTGAGAAACAAGAAGGCAACATAATGTCATTAGGAAGATGTTAGCAAGTGAGGACAGCTGTGAAAGCTCGAGGCTGAAAGGTGGCTCGCCGGCTTCATTTCTTTGGCTTCTTGGGCAGCGGTCGCCGGAACAGCAAGATGTGAGGTTCTGAAAGAGTGGGTGAAATCTAAGTGCCAAGCTCACACCACTCTACGCGCAACCTGCAGGGTACCCCACGCCCATTTCCCGGCCGTCACCCTCTCAGATCTTTATAACTAAATTCAGATTGAAGTGTACGGCCTTAGAAGCAGACCCATAAGCCTGGCAGAGTAGGGAGCTGTTAACAGCCTTTCTTTTGCTGTTTGTACAGCCCCGGGCTGTCCTTTGATTAGTTTTGCCTGGCAGCTTGGTGTCTGGTGTCTTATCAAGAAATATACTTTCCTTGGCTTATTTGGAACACATCCAAGAATTCTCTTTCTGATGGAGAATGAAGGAGGGGCCATGACCTCTACCAGGCCTTAAAAAAAGGGCATCCTCTGATCGAGTCAGATATAAAGGAGGCTTTTCACTGACGGGTTGTCTCTGAACTTCCGAGACATTTTACTGTTATTCTTACTGGTGCTCACTCCAGGTTCTCTAGATGGCAGGTGGAGTAAGAAACCAGTAAAGCGCCCCTTCCTCCCCCGAGTCTTTGGGTTATGGGATCTGGCATTCATTCCTTCAGTGAAGCAGCCATTGCACTGACCTGGTTCGTGGATCATATAATGCACCCATCCCTGACTCTGCTGCACGCCAAGATTCCTCCATTCAGATTCGGACATCAAATGGGTTTTAGGGACCAGCTTGGCTATGTCCTTGGGCAACATGACATGCCTGCAACAGAAACATGTGTGTCAGTACTGGGTACAATCTGTTGGGGAGTGCCCGCACACGAAGCCAAGAGAGAAAAGAAAAAACAGTTTCTGATGGCAGGGAGTTTCTAGAATCTTATTGTGGGGTAGAGGTAGCTAGAAATAAAGGCTAAGTTATGTAAATCCTTGAGAAAGTATATAAAAAAAGTACATAGTAATGAATAACCCAAGTGAATGAGCACATAATTCCAGGCACTGTTGATATACTGCCTCCGCCTTCCTGGAGCTTAGTCTTTTAGTTGATTACCCTAAAACAATATAATGCGGCCCCACAGTACACATTATGTTAATAATAAAAGGTGGTTTTGAACAGAATTGGTAAAGAAGGGAAGGAAGTGATTTTGTGGGGAAGAAAGGCCTATTACGGGGTGCTGTGTGGAAGAGCCATAACAGAAGATGAAACGTCAATGTCTTATCCTTTAAAATCTACCCTCAATTTCATTTTCCTGGCTCCTGAAGGGCTGTGCCATCAGACGACTTCTGGGAAACTGTGCTTTCCTATCCAAGGATCAGTCTCCTTTCATGGCAAAGAAATTATTTCTCTGATTTGACTTGAGCTAACCCAGATAGACTTCATCATGCTCAGTGAGAACGCACTAAATGCTCTCTGTGCTAGTAACAGATTTTTTTTTTTCTCAAGGAGAGAATTCTAGTCTAAATGTCTGAAAATAGCTTACACTCTAACAAGCCCCTGGCACAAAGATTGGCTTCACTACCCAATTAGTCACAAACCAACAAAACCACCCAAAACAACCCCCCCCAAACAAAACAAAACAAAACACAATAAAAACAAAAGTCTTCCTTAAACCAAAATGCCACTGTCAAGGGGTATTTACATCTTCCGGGGGCTGAAACCAGGGACTTCTCCTTAGCCCTGCAACGTGTTGTAAGCACACAGTTTTGGTAAGTTTAGCTCTGATGTAGAGGAAAACAGCTGAAGAAAAGAAAGTTAACTAACTGGCTCCGTGCAGGGCCTGGGGTCTTTTCCCCCAAACCTGACATAAAGCCGGTTAATGTATTTGTCAGCACACACTGAGTTCTCCAGAGGGCGCAGAGACTGCACCAGGCTGGAGAAGAAACGCAAACAAGTTTCCTTTTATGTTCTTCAAGTGGGACAAGGTACGAAATAGGAAGTTGTTTTAAGGACTACATTTAACGCAGACTAAGAGAATGCCAACATTTGTAGAACCCTCTGTCCTCCACAATTCTCCAATCTAGAATTACGAATTTAGGATTTAGCCAATGCAAATTCTGTAGGGATTCTTTTCTTTCCCATCCTTGGCGAGAACTATGTGCTCCCATCAAAACCTGTACCTATGCCTACCATGCCAATTATCACCTTCTTTCTGAAGTATTTCTACAGATTCGTTAGGCTTGGTGAAAGCAGACACCATGGCTTCTCCTTGGTCTACGTTCGTAGAACACCTGAAACCTATAAGCACTTCTTAATCGTTTCCTAAATAGATGCCCTTCAAATATTTAAAGGGTATCGATTAGGTCCACGTTAAATCTTTTCTCAACGATCCTGGCCAGTTTTATTCCACGCCAGTTCCTCGAAGTCCCTTCCTAAAAAAAACCGGGCTGCCACACCCCTTTTCCACGAATTAATGAGCAATACGCAGGCTCGCTCACTCTCTCTCCCTTACATTGAAGAGAGGAAAATTCGAGCTCCGCCTTCGCCACTTTTTCCCAGTCGGCTCTATGATTCTATGGCGTTGCCGTGAAACGAGCAGTCTCAAGAAGGCCAGTTCGACTTGCTCAATAACGTGGAGAATGATCCAGGAACCCAAAGCGTGCAGGTGGTCGACACATAATAATCAAGAGAGTTTACTCCAAACTCGCTAACACTTTCCTTCCCGAGAGCCGCCTACCCTTCGCGCATGCGCTTTACGCTCTCAACGCTCTCACAGCCGTCCCGTGAGCCTGCCGCGCATGCGCCGGTTCTGTCGCTTCTGCTCTGGTTACTAACTCCTCGTGCCCTCACTTGTCAAAGCTCACGACCTCATTATGCCCCCCGCGCCGGCACTAACCGGTACTCGAACTCCTCGTCGTCGTATTTGTCCGAATAGTAAATTTGTTTGTGCGACATGATCGCTCGGCCTGACGACCGTCAGCCCCGCGCCGCCAACCACCAAACTCCCAGAAGCACGCGCTCCCCCCTTCTTTGGCCTCACTTTCAAACACACCGCCCGCCCTTCCTATTGGTTCCTTTGGCCTAAGGCGGGGCAACCCCATCTTCAGGCCTCCTATTGGCTTAGATTTGCTCCTCGTCGAGTCCTTATTGGAGCGCACTTCTTGCGTTTCTCAAGAAAGAACTTAGGTCAAAAATAGGCCTCTTATTGGCTAGTACAGGCCCTGTGTGCGTTCTCGCACTGCCATTGGTCGATACGGGAAAGTGGGACGGGAGTAGGAGGGCCGGTGAGGTAGAGGGTCAGGGGTTAGCGAGGCCGGAAGTGAGTGCAATAAAGTTTCTCCAGGGAGGCCGGGCCCGGGGAGAAAGTTGGAGCAGCGACCTAAGGAGGCAGTGGCGTGATCCAGAACCAGATCACCCCGCGGTGCGGTGCGGCGACTCCATGAGGCCCTGGTGAGTGGGGACTTTTTTTCTCCTTATGTGACCCACTCCTCCACCCCGGAACCCCTCTCCCGGGACCCTACTTCCGGTCTTCATTTATAAGTCCCGCCCTCCGAGACCCCCTCCCCGGAAGTCCCACCTTCCAACTTCAGGGGGCTCCCTGAACCCCGACTTGTTTTCTGTGTATTGCCGTCGACCCCACCCCGTCGCCCAGCTTTCCTGGAAGCCACACCCCCAAACATGCTTCCCAGCTCTCCTACAAGAGGGCCCACGTTCGTCCTTCCACTTCCCCGAAACTCCGAGGCGACGATTCTCCGCTAACTCCTGTCCATCAAAAAGCCTATCTCCCAAAGGCCCGAGCCCTATCCCTCAAAGAACTACTGGGTTCGAAGTCGTGAGGCCACGCCTCCGGGGCTCCGCCCCCCGCGGGGCCCGCCCCTTCCTTGATCCACGTCTCATTGTCCAGAAGCCTCGCCTCCTGGAGGTCTCGGAGGCGCGCGTCCTGAGGGACCACGCCCCCTCAGGAGATTTAGCTTTGTGCGACCCCGGTCTTCCCCTCAGAAGCTTTGTCTGCGATCTCAGGGCCGTCCTCTCCTTACAGTCCCTTGTCCTATTTCTGTGTCGAGCCTTAGGCTCAGGTTTCCTGAGCTTGTGCGCTCCGTCGGGTGGGGAGTCAAAGGTCCCCTCTCTGGCTCTGGGGAGTGAAGAGATCAGAGGCTGCCCCTTCCGAGGGTGGACTTGCTTGAAGCGGGGGCTGGACTTGGGGTTTGGCACGAAGGTGGGAGAGACTTGCTCATAGATTCCCAGCCCCGCTCCCCGAGTTTCCCTTCCCAGAACCCGCGCCCCCCAGAAACAGCCGTTATGTTTCGTACCTGTACCACGGGATTTGAGTAGGGCCGTTTATTTGTTGATGTGTGAAAGGACCTGACGTTTTCTACCAGCAGAAAACCGAGTCTTGGAGCGGGTGTAGGGGACAGCGACCTTTTTGCTGTTTGATTTTTTTTTTTAAGGGGCTGCTCGGCCCCCACCGCTTCGCTGGCTTCCCTTCCCCCCGGGTTTTTGTCTGGGCATTCCTCCTGGTCCCGCGTGCCCAGCGTTCCCTTCTGGAAACATTCCTGAGGCTTTCGCCATTTCCTGCTACTTCCCGCCGCTCTTGTCTCCCCCTCCCTGCCGGGCTGAGGAGGCGCACGCGGCTTCTCCCCCACACCCGGTCACCCAGTCTCACAGCAGGCAGTCTCATGCCTGTGCAGATTTAAAGAGCCCTACTTCCGCTTTCCTTGCTCCTAAATGCCCACACCTGTTGGTCATCCCCTGCCTCTGGACCCTGCGGGCTCCAGCAGAACGCCCCTCCCTACAGGTGAAGACGTCCCGGTGTGTGTCCCAGTGCGAGGTTGTGGCCGAGGGCCTCCCTGGCGCTCTGTCCCTGAGCGCGGAGCCCGAGGAAACGGAGTGTTAGGATTCCTTCTCAGGGGCGGTGGCTGGAATGACAGCGCCCCGCGGATGAGGACTAGGGCGGGAAAGGAGTTTAGCGCGGCGCCTAACAGGTTTCACGTGTGGTTTGTTAACCGCTGTAATCGTACGATTGTTGCCTCTTTATCTAATGAAGCAGTGTAAGGGTAGGTGATTCCGGGGTCAGCCCTGGGGGTATATGTGTCTTACTTCTTTTGTGGTCACTTTCCGACTTTGTGGCCCCTTCAAGCAGAGCTGTGGCAGGAAACCGTGGGTGGAAAGAATGGTCCTGTGTCCAGCCTAAGCCCATCTTCTCCCGGCACCTCTTCTTCCCGTACTTAGCACAGATTTTTCTTCCGCCGCCTGTGTCCCTTCATGGTCTGTAGCTCCCACCGCTCCTGGCGACTGTCACTCTCCCACCTCCAGCCAGACTTCGCCCCTGTGTGAGGGGCACAACGCTCCCAGTGGACACGTGTGCCCTCCACAGTGACCACTGCGAGCGGAGGATGTGGCTCACCTGGCAGGTTCAGGGGAGCTGGCCTTAGTGACAGTGCCCCGCTCCCCTCTTCTGCCTTTGACAGCTGGCTTTGCTAACTAGGCCTGCGGAAAGGAGGCCATGAGAGTGCTTGGCCGAGGCCACTGTTCCTGGCAGGGTCGGTGCCACCGTAGAGAGCAGGGCCGCACCAGCCCGCCCTCTGCTCTCTCTGATGCACCACCCAGGGTGGACTTCGTTCCCCGTATCTCGCCAGCTGTGCCCTTCCTCGGCCCCGCTCCGCATCCACTGGGACCGCTCCCTTCTTTTCCCCGATTCTTTTGCTCCTGTCCACAGCTGTTGTAACAGAGGATGCTAATGGCCCCGGCTCCCTGGGGCCAGCACCCCACGGTGTGGTAGTGGTGGGGTTGGCCTGGGCTGGAGGATGGGGGAACTTGAGTGTTCAACCAGGACAGGAAGGGAAATGCTGAGCTCAGGGGTCCCCTCCCTTTTCCACCCCCAGCTGCCTCTGTTTCCTCCCTCGGCTTCCTGCTCCCTTCGGCCACCATGTCCTGTTTGGATTGATCAGACCCCTTATCCCCCTCCTTTCCTTCTCACTCCTCCATCCTTCCCTCCCACCCCCACTTCACTCCTCCCCGGATTACTAGTTGTTTGTATGGGGGCCGGCGGTGGGGACTCAGCCCCTCTGAGCCTGTGAGTCAGCACTGTCCTCGGGATTGGTCTCTCCCCTGGGCTCCCCGCCCCTGGGAGGAGCCAGGCAGCTCTGGGTCCAGCCTGTTCTTCTCTCAGCCGGAGAAGAGGCTCTGCGCTGGGCGGGGATGGGGCTTGGAAGTACCTGGGTCTGAGCTGGGGAAGCCGGAGGAGCTGGAGCTGCTGGTCCCTCTCCCTCCCCAGGATCCTTGAGATCCCTAGGCCATAGCGGCCGATCAGGCCAAGTGCCTGGGGATGCCCCTGCCTGGCCCCCTTGCCCTGACCGGCAGGGGGGCCGGGCCGGGCAGCAGCCTCCCTCTCGCTCCAGCCATGGATCTCCTGCCCCCCAAGCCCAAGTACAACCCACTTCGGAATGAGTCTCTGTCATCGCTGGAGGAGGGGGCTTCTGGGTCCACCCCGCCAGAGGAGCTGCCTTCCCCATCAGCCTCGTCCCTGGGGCCCATCCTGCCACCGCTGCCTGGGGACGATAGTCCCACTACCCTGTGCTCCTTCTTCCCCCGGATGAGCAACCTGAAGCTGGCCAACCCGGCTGGGGGGCGCCTGGGGCCGAAGGCGGAGCCAGGCAGGGCGGCTGAGGATGGGGAGGGGACCACAGGGGCAGCTGTGCCAGACTCAGGCCCCCTGCCCCTCCTCCAGGACATGAACAAGCTGAGTGGAGGCGGCGGGCGCAGGACTCGGGTGGAAGGGGGCCAGCTGGGGGGCGAGGAGTGGACCCGCCACGGGAGCTTTGTCAATAAGCCCACGCGGGGCTGGCTGCATCCCAACGACAAAGTCATGGGACCTGGGGTTTCCTACTTGGTCCGGGTGAGTGAACATCCTCCCTCCTGTGCCCTCCCAGATCCCTCCAGTTCCCTGTCACTCTGGCTTTGGGGGAGTCTCTGTTGCCTTCCTCTTCCCCAGCAACTCCCTCTGTTTTGGGGTGCTCTGTTTCTGAAACCTGTCCTGCTCCCCTGATTCTGCAGCCCCTTCCCTCCCAGCTCTGCCCAGACTCCGCTTCCTCCCTGTGACTCCCCCACCCCCACCCCGCCATGCTTAGCATGATGTCCAGCCCGTGGGAGGCCCTTACTGTTGGAATGAGTGACTCCTGAGCGTCCCCTCCGGTCCTCTCCCCCTCCTAGAGATGTCACCTCATCCCACCCAGTGCCTGTCACTGCTCTCTGGATTCTCTTCTAGGTGCATGATGTCCTCCCAGCTTGCCCTTCCCATCTGTCCCCATTCTCCGTTGTCACAAAGTGTGTGTTGTGGGCTGTGGCAGAACTTCACCTCCACTTCCGTTAGGGACCACGTAGAGAAAACTCTTAGGACCCGTTGGGAAGGGTTGGGGGGAGGCGGCTGACTCGTTACCCTCCCATCCTCCCCTCAGTACATGGGCTGCGTGGAGGTCCTGCAGTCAATGCGTGCTCTGGACTTCAACACCCGGACTCAGGTCACCAGGTCAGGGGGCCTGAACCGGGGAGCCCGGGGGGAGGGGGAGGGGAGGCGGACACTTGGTGGCGCCAGTCGTGGCTCGCCTTTGGGTGGTAAAGGGGACCGAGAGAAAGTGAGGGGAGTGAGTCTGAGTCTGAACGAAGAGGCAGCTCTTCCTGCGTCCCTCTTCCTCATCCAGGCTTGGGAGCTGGCGGGGAGGTGGCAGAGGCAGCTGGAAGCTGGAGCTTGAGTGGAATATGGGGGTAGATGAGAGGTGGCTGCTGCCTTTGGGAAGGGAATGGGACGTTTGGTAGCTGGAAAGGGGTGGGGCCAGCCCATTGAGGCCCTAACCCAATCAGCCAGGAAGCGGCCTCGGTGTCATCAAATATTAAAGGCCCTTAATTCAATCCACCACGACAAAGAGCCTGGAGTGCCCCTGGAGTCTGGCCTAGCCTTCCCCTCCCCCAGCCCTGTGGCAGCCCCAGCCTAGTGGGAGGCGGGCTCTGGGTCTGAGTACCCCTCTTTCCCCAGGGAGGCCATCAGTCTGGTGTGCGAGGCTGTGCCAGGTGCTAAGGGAGCAACAAGAAGGAGAAAGGTACCTGGGGTCGGTGGGGCTAGGGGTGCTGCTGGGACCTGTGGAGGGGCAGGCGAAGGCAAGGGTGGGATGTGGGGAGACAGCCAGAAGGCAGGAGCATGGGGGTTTTGGGGGTTGCGAATCCCCAGTTTCTGAGCCCCTTGGGCCCCTCCTTAGCCCTGTAGCCGCCCGCTCAGCTCCATTCTGGGGAGGAGTAACCTGAAATTCGCCGGAATGAAAAATTCGCCGGACTGCCGATCACTCTGACCGTTTCCACCAGCAGCCTCAACCTCATGGCCGCAGACTGCAAACAGGTTGCTGGGGCTGGGCAGGGCGACCAGAAGTCTCGATGGGAGTGGGGCGGGGGACCTGGCTGTGAGGGTGAAAAACTGGGAGAGGCCAGTAGGGGAGGAGGAGACTAGGAGGATGGGTGGGGTGGGGGGAGAAGCCGAAAGACGAGGCTCCAGGGTCCTGGGCCAGGGGTGGGGGGCACTCGGGTGCGCCTGAGGCTGCCTGACACGTGTCATTCCCTCCTCCGTCCCCTGCCCTAACCCTCAGATCATCGCCAACCACCACATGCAGTCTATCTCGTTTGCGTCCGGCGGGGACCCGGTGAGTTGCAGAGCAAAGGTTCTTGGGGAAGAGTAAGGGGCGGGGCTTGGGAAGACACAGGCCAGAGAAACGGCTGTGCTGGGGTGGAGGTGACCCCCGGAAAGGACTGGGACCCAGGGGTCGTGACTGAGGTGGGCCTGTCAGATCGAGCTAATGCGCCTCTTCGACTCTGTCCGCCCCAGGACACAGCCGAGTATGTCGCCTACGTTGCCAAAGACCCGGTGAATCAGAGAGGTGAGGCGTGGTGGGGAGCGCTGGGTGGGGGGGGCACTGTCCGTGAGGCAGGTGAGCAGGACCCGGGGAGCTAAGCAGGGGCTCCCGCCGAGGAGGACGAGAGCCCCTGTCCGTGCCTCCTGCCAGCACCCCGCCTCAGAGCTCACCGGCAGCCTCTGCTGTGCCCCCAGCCTGCCACATCCTGGAGTGTCCGGAAGGGCTCGCTCAGGACGTCATCAGCACCATTGGCCAGGCCTTCGAGCTGCGCTTCAAACAATACCTCAGGAACCCGCCCAAGCTGGTCACCCCCCACGACAGGTGAGTGGGTGGCGGGGAGCAGCTCGTGGGCCCCAGAGCCGATTGGGATGGTGGCTCTGTCCTTCCCACGCTCCTGCTCAGAATGGCTCCGGGAAGGAAATGACCCGTGTGCCCCTGCTTCCCACTTCCTGCCATTCTCACATTTCCTGTGGCCATCAGGAAGGGCTTTCAGGGCGCTGCCCGCTGCGGTGCCAGTGCGTCCCTGTTTGCTCGTGGCTGGCCGCAGTTGGTCCCGGATCTGACGCTGCAGCCTGGCCCCGGCTGGGGGCGCTCTTCACTCCCACTGCCTGGCGTCCGGCGTCGCTCTTTCTTGCCCAGTTCTCCGTCCTTAGTTCTTTGCTTTCGTGCCCCTAGAAGCCTCAAGAGTTTGAGGAAGGGAGGGTGGCTTTCTGTTGCGAAGCCTTGGGCTCACCTTTCACCTGTGGCCCTCACTCTCCTCATCTATAAACCTGGGGAGGGAACTAAGGCCTACCTTCCAGGGCTGCCAGGAGGAAGGCATGATTATTCATACTGATGCCCAGATGCCCGGCCTCGGGCCTACCCCACCCCGCCGGGCATCCCTGGACATCCCCAGACATGGCCGCTGTTCTGTCCCCGCCTGTGTCCTCCCACCCGCGCTCCTCACTTCCTCCTGCCCTTCTCAGGATGGCTGGCTTCGATGGCTCGGCTTGGGATGAGGAGGAGGAAGAGCCACCTGACCATCAGTACTATAATGACTTCCCGGGGAAGGAACCCCCTCTTGGGGGCGTGGTGGACATGAGGCTTCGGGAGGGAGCCGCCCCGGCGGCCACCCGCCCCACCCCGCCCAGTGCCCAGCCGCCCACCCAGCTGGGAGCTACGCTGGTAAGTGGCTTGGATAGAGGGGTCTGGACCCCGGATAGGAGTGGCTCCTTAGGGCCTCTGGTCTCATCTTATTTTTGTCCCTTCAGCCTGTGGGGCAGCCTGTTGGGGGAGACCCAGAAGTCCGCAAGCAGATGCCACCTCCGCCACCCTGCCCAGGTACAGAGGGGCTGAGGGACAGCCAGGGTGCAGGAGGCAGGGCTGGGTCACTGGACAGCCTCCCTTGCCTCCTCCGCAGGCAGAGAGCTCTTCGATGACCCCTCCTATGTCAACGTCCAGCACCTGGACAAGGCCCGGCACGCGGGGGCGGGCGCCGGGCCCCCCGGCCTGGCGGTCAATGGCGGCGCGCCGCGAGACCTTTTTGACATGAGTGAGTGCCGCTGTTCTCCCTGCGTCCCTGAATTCCGCTCGGTGCCCCTGGCTCTGTCCTTCAGGCCTCCCCCCAGGAGACCCTGGGGCCTGGGCCTGGGTTATGCCAGCTGCCTTTCTTGGCCCTTTTTGTGCCCCAGAGCCTTTTGAAGATGCCCTTCGGGCGCCTCCCCCGCCGCACTCGTTGGCCATGGCCGAGCAGCTCCGGGGGGAGCCCTGGTTCCACGGGAAGCTGAGCCGGCGGGAGGCCGAGGCGCTGCTGCAGCTGGATGGGGACTTCCTGGTGCGGGAGAGCACAACCACGCCCGGCCAGTACGTGCTCACCGGCCTGCAGAGCGGGCAGCCCAAACACCTGCTGCTGGTGGACCCCGAGGGCGTGGTGAGTGCGCAAGGCCGTGGGTGGGGTGGCCGAAGGGAAGCCGCAGTGCCCTCCCCGCAGCCTGCCCCGGCATTCCCACCTCCTGTTTCCCCGGCCGGCCGCCTCTGCATGGGCCTCCCCGTGCTCAGGGTGCCCAGCACCGCTGTCCATGGGCTCGGGGTTCCCTCTTTCTCATCCCTGAGCCTGAGCCGGGTCCCCTTTAGTCCTGGCCAGTCCTCACACCCCCAGACTTGACGCCCCGGAGAGCCAGGTGCTCATCTCACCTGAGCCTCTTGTCACAAATGAGGAAAGCATCCTGGAGAGGTTGCGATGCTCGGTGTCGCATGGTTACGGGCTGGATACCCTTGCAAGAGGGGCTCCCTCCCTCCTCCTCCGCAGGCTCGGCCCGGCAGCTGGTCCCCTCGGAGTCTTGCTCTCTCTTCTGCAGCAACATCAGCCTCCTTTCCACCTCCTTTCCTCCTGTGTCCGCCCCTGAGACTTGCCACCTTCCTCCAGGGCAAAGGAGGAGTAGGCATCCTTCAGCGTCACAGTTTCCTGATCTGCCCCCTCCCAGGGCTGGCTGGCTGTAGCTGCCTCTTCAGTGAGCAGGACTGACAGCCCCGCCCCTGCCAACCTTTTCTCCGACCTCAGCCCTCTCTACTGTCGCTTCCTCAGCCTTGGGACCTGAGGTGTGATGTGCCTCTTCACCTGCATCCACCCTCCCCCTTCCCTTTCCCAGGTTCGGACCAAGGATCACCGCTTTGAGAGTGTCAGCCACCTCATCAGCCACCACATGGACAATCACTTGCCCATCATCTCTGCGGGCAGCGAACTGTGTCTACAGCAGCCTGTGACCCGGAGGCCGTGACCATGACTGTCCCAGGTGCTCTCCCGGAGAGCCTTTCGGCCCCTCCCACTGCTCCCTGACTGGCAGGGCCTCGCCGGGAGTGTTCCGCAGGCTCAGCCTCTGCGTCGCAGCTGGGGGTGGTGTGGACACTGGGTTCCGCACCCGGCTGAGGGGCAGGCCTCGAGTCAGGAGCCTGGGGCAGAACCTCCTTCTCCCTAACCTCACCAAAGTATTAACGTAGAAGTGGTCCCCTGCCCAGGGCCTTTCCTGTGCCAACCTGTTACCCCCTTCCCCAGGCAGGTAGATGCTCGAGGCCCGGGCAGTATGCCTCATCGTGGGAAATGTCCTGTGGTGACGGTCACCCTAACAGGGAATGGGGAACACATCACACCTTCGGTCTACCCCTGGGCTCAGGGTACCCCAGACCCCTCTCAACAACCCTCCCTCCCAATGTTCAAACTTTGTGCCTTTGACCATCTCCTGGGTCTGAAGATATTTTATGCAAAGAATTCTCAGGCCCCTGAGGTCAAGGATAGGAGTGCCGAGACCTACTTGGCTTCTGGGACCCCCTCCGGTTTAGGCTGGGAGAAGAGAGGCAGGAGTGGCAGCCGTCCCCTCTCCCTGGGCCTGTGTCACCCACAGAGATTGCCTTAGAGCCCCCCTCCCGGCCAGGGGGGAGAAAGACCCCTTCTTTGCTCAGTGCCTCCTGGTTCTGGCCCCTGAGCCCAGCGGTCTGTATATACATTTCGGTCGCTCCCGCCCTCCCGTGTAGCGTGCATGTTATGTTCTACGCCAAAGTGCAGCCCTTCCTCCTGTCCCCACCCTACTTCCCCTTGGGGAAGCCGGAGGGTGACCGAACCTGGGCTCCTGAACTGTTAGCTCTCCCAGGTGCATTCTGTGGAGGCCCAGCGGGCATTGAGACTCTGAAGCAGTAGACAATCCCCAATGCCATCCGTAGATTTGGAGCTGCATTTATTTTTTATTTTATATGCATATATTTTAGGGCTGTAGATTACTTTCCTAATTTGTTTTCCATGGCTTATTCTTGAGCACAAAGCGATGGTAATCGATTACACTCACAGTCACCTCTTTGACTTTTCAAAGCCTTTTACAACTCTTTGGCGTTGTCCTCACCCCGGCCTGAGGCGGCGGGGGGCTGGCATTGTCTAAGAGAGACCCTAGGCGGAGAGAGTCAGTCAGTCCTGAGCTAGGACGAGAAACACTCCGGCCTCTTACCGCGAGGCTGGGAGGCCAAGCGCGGCTGCGGAAACTTACAAGCTGCGGCCACTGAGCACCTCCCACCGCCGCCCGCTGCCCGCCGCCCGCCCCCCGCCCCCAGGCCTGGCAGATAAGGGAGAGTTGACCGTCTGAACCCTCGCCGCCTCCTTTTTGCTGTTTGGATGTTTTCACGGGTCTCACTTATACCAAAGGGAAAGAATCTTCATTAAAGTTCGTATTTCTTCTACCTCGGCCTCTTAGTCCCTGTCGCTGCCTGTTTTTCGCCGCGGGCCCTCGGCGGCGGGACCCACCTGGCCTCGTTGGGGCCGGGCTCCAGCGGGACGCCGCCCGCGACCCCCGGGGGTGTGTGGCGGAGGT